TGAGGTTCTGGAGCACAAGTCCTGTGAGGAGCTGCTGAGGGAGCTGGGTGTGTTCAGCCTGGAGAAGAGGAGGCTCAGGGGAGATCTTATCACTCTCTAAACTACCTGAAAGGAGAGTGCAGAGAGGTGGCAGTTGGTCTCTTCTCCCAAATGGACAAGAGGAAATGGTGTCAAGTTGCACGAAGGGAGGTTTAGATTGGACATTAGGAAAAATTCCTTCACCAAAAGGGTTTGTCAGTCATGGGAACAGGCTGCCCAGGGGTGTGGTTGAGTCACCATCCCTGGAGGTATTTAAAAGTGCAGAGTGGTGCTTAGGGACATGGTTTAGTGGTAGACTTGGCAGCGCTAGTTTAGCGGTTAAGACTTGATGATCTTAATTTTCTTTTCCAACCTAAAAGATTCTATGTTTTTGTAATACTATGAAAAGTGCTGTAAAGCTGTGGAGGTAGAGACATCCCCTCTAGCTACGTAATCCATTTGGTGTTTAGCACTGTCTGCCCTGCACTTCTAAAAGACATGGAAAAATTGAAAGACTTTTTTTTAATTGCTCTCTAATGATTAGAGGCCCAGGATAATACTCCTAAGACCTCAAGTTCCTCTTTTAGATTAAAGGTCTACTGGCAGTGATTGTTGATATCCAAGATACCTTGATGCAGTTTGCTGTGGTGCCAACATAACCCACTCTCTCCGACATGGGAAGAGTGTGTGTGTAAGAGGTTCCTTGTCATTCTGTCCCTAATATTTTATTTATTCTTTTGGGGTGTCAGTGCTGGGGCAGAGTTTCTCCATGCACAGCCATCCTTTCATTACATTAGCCTCTCCCTTGCCATAAGCCTTGAATCAATGTTCTCAGATACAGTTTTGCACGCCTGTTCTTCTGAAAGGGACCGCAATGTCCACGTCCTTCCCAAAGAATTTGGCACTTTCTGAAATGGGTCATCTTCTTCAAAGTATTTCAGATCAAGCACCTGAAATGACCAGTCGTGTCTGGAAAACCTGAGCTCTGCATGTCTACCCTTGGAAAGGTCAGATCTTGCTGTAGTCGGCTGACGTGCAGAGACTGCAAAGACAAAGTGTACTCAGAAGCCAAGATACAGCACTTCTGGGTGGGGTGCCTGATGCTCTTTTCTTGCCCATAGATCAAATGGAGAGGCATTGAAGTCCTGGCTGTGATGTGACAAGGAAGACACGAATGGCCGGGTTACTCTGATGTTGCCTTTCTCCCTTGCCTTTCACTGCCTCTCGGAGCACTTCACGTGACGGTCGCCATGGCCCTGGAGCGGTCTGGCATAGGGGAGCTGCAGGGACTGGACATCTGCTGGTGCCTGGGCCCTGCACGATCCCCTTGCTGCGTGACCTTGAGTCGAATTGCCTGGCTGCACCATCCCCTCTTGCCACCACCGCCTCCTCTTTCCCCCGTGCACCTTCTGTCTCCCAAACGGGGCCTGGGAGACGGAGAAGCCAGCGTAAGCATCGAGAGCTGCCTGGCTGTTGTTTGGTTTGCTCTTAGTTCAAAAGGCTGGCGACAATAGCCCTCATCTGTAGGGCATAAGGATGAGGGAACGAACACTTCCTCCTTATCACGGGGAATTTGCTGCCTTTTGGAAAAAAACAGATGCACAAACCTATAATTTCTTATTAATTTTAAAGTAGCTCTTGGCTCGCTACCCCCTCCGTATCAGCCCTTGCATTGTCAGTAAATTATATTGGATTTGCAATTAAAAGCCAGCTGTGCCAGTGAAGTACCAGCCAAATGCCACCGTAGCTGTCTCCTGGGTGTCCTCCTGGGTGGTGTGGAGCACGCAGCTCCTCCTCCAGCGAGCTCTTCTCTCACTTCGAGAGGGAAAGATAAGAGTTTAAAATGGGATCTCAGGCCCATTATTTTTGTTAATCAGAACGCCTGCTCACTAAGAAGTGCGGTTCTTTCCTTGATACTGCATGTTCGTGGATACAGCAATTCCCAGAGCTTGAAAAATGCCAAACACGCTCCACCGTGCAAAAAGTTAACTGTTTGAGGAGAAAACTCGTAGGGATGGATGTCTGTCTCAGGCTGATTCCCTTTCTCAGTTAAAATGATTTATTGGAGAAGTATCTCTGCCTCTGCCGTATGGGGTTTTTTAAGTGTTGAAAAGCATTTGTGCCCATGGTGTGTTGGAGCCGGAGTTTGTGGCCAGGCATGGGGAAGAGTGCTGCGGGTGTGCTGCTCCCTGCCCCTCTGGAGATCCACCCCATGGCTGAACTGCAGTTTGCTGCAAGTTGTAGCAAAACCCCGACTCTTTCGTCTTCCTGCCACACTGGAACCGGGCAGGGCTTTTTCTGCACCAGCTTTCTCAGTCCCTCAGCTGCTGGGGCTCCTGGAGCCAGAGTGGGAATCTCTTCGGCTCTTGTCTCTCTCACCTTTGGCTGGATCAAGCAGGTGCAGCAATCCAGTGCAAGAAGGGTAAGAGAGGAGGAATGTAGAAAGTGGATCTCTTCCCAACCTGGAGCAGGACTCCAGGTTGTAGGGTTACAGGCAAGGTCCCAAAAACTGCTGGCAAGGGAAGGAGGAAGCCCACCTCAGTGCTGGCCATGAAGGTGGTGAGATTTGATATCCACCAAATGGCTGCACACGTCAGGGTGTGGAGACCTGCGCTGGGGGTCCCCAAGGTTGTGATCTTGCCAGCGGGATTTGGAAGGGCCAATACATGTCTCTGATAAAAGGATGTTTTTTCAACTGGATAGTTGGTAAATTCCTCAAAGAATTCCTATGGGAAAACAAACAAACCCCACCAAACCAAAAAACAAAACCCCAACAACCAGCACTGCATTAAAAGCCTGCGAAACAAAGGTTGTGCACCCAGCTGAGAAACACCTGAATGAGTGTGTTGTGTGTGCAACTTTTAATGCCTACCGCTGCATGTTTGCCTTGTGGTGCAATTTTAGTGGTGCCGTTGTGTGCGGGTTATCTGTATGCTGTAGCAAGGCTACATGTGCATACCAAAATCGTGTTATGAGCCGTATTTAGGTGTGCAATAAAGATATTGCCCTTCCTGCTGCTTTAGAAACAGTTCAAAGGCTGTAGTATTTGCTCTGTCCTTTGGCCTTTGTGGGGTGAGAGAAGAGGCTGTCTGCACCTTAGATGTGTTAGTTGTCTCCAGCGGTATCTCTCCCCAGGATGAGGAGATTGGTACAGCAAACAATGGGGGAGTGTTTACCTCTGTTGTTCCTCTCCCTATTCATTTTGAACCTGCTAGCTTTCCCCGTCGTCCCCTTAAATCACATTATTTCATAAAGAGTAAAAAGAAACATAATTTGGAGCAGCAGCAAGCTGAGCCCACGTTAATAGTTTGAATTGCACTCCATCTGTTCAGCTGCATGGCCTGATGGATGTGCTGAACCCATTTTTCACAATTTGTTTTAAGCTGGTAAGAACCATCTCTCCTGGCTCCGATCCAGGCTGGCTGTGGAGAAAAACTTCATATCTGGACATGCATGTCCGGAGGGCGGGATTGAGTCAGTAATCCCCAGATGCCAGGCTACTTCTTCCACCTGCAACTCGCTAGGTTTTTGAGTTCTTCTCTGGACGTGAACATTGTTGTCGAAAATTAGAGGGTGGGGGAGAAACCCCAACGTGCACACGCACGATGAAATTTGCAAACGTGATTATGCAGGACCCGCTTTAAATCGGCTTATTGCTTTTTTTATGATGGCAAGCAAGCAGTCACAGGAGCCAGGGTGATTGGCCTCGCCATGTGCGCACACTGCTGGTAACTCAATAACCGATGAACACCCACTGTGGTCTCCAGACCTCGAGCCTTTGATGTAGCAACAAACAAGATAGATTGCTGTAATTTATCTGGCCCCCGGAGGGTTGTGCTGGTAATGTGCCATGAGCCCAAGGGCCAGCCATCCATAATCTGGGTAAAAATACAGCAGATCGACGAGGCTGTGCTGTGGGATTGTCTTTTGTTTCGTGCCGCAAGAGTTTGCGGGCGTACAAGGCACAGCACCGGGTCTCGATTTCCAGCAGCCAGGGGCGGTAAGTCTTGGTGTAATATGCCCGCTCCCTCCATTAACTTTAATTGTTTTTCTTATGTACTAAACACACTCCTTTCAAATAGACTTGGGAGGGCAGTGCCGTAAACGTGGTGTTTCCCCGTATGCCTTCCCAAGCGTAGCGGAGAGGCTGGAGAAGGCGTGCTGGGTTTGGGGGAAAAGAATGGCGTTTTGTACCAGCTGAAGGCCTCCAGCCTGGAAACCCAAGGAGGGCGTGTAGCCTCCTGCGCCTCTCTCCTGGTGGGACGCAGTCTCAGTTGGGCTGTGCCAGGAGAAGAGGGAGTTGCTGCCGAACCGGGAGCCCCACCAGTGGCACCGGGGTGCTGCAGAGCGGCCACGTGCCACCTCCGGTGGTGACCCATGCCTGGGATGGCAGCGTGGTGGGGTTGGAAAATCAGGGTAGTGCTGAAAACAAAGCCCTATCAGCTCTAGTTTCTGGTGTGTTGCCATGCAGCACAGTACCTTTTCGTGCCTGGATTCTTATCGCTTCCAAAGGAAGATGTGATGTTACCTCAACACCGCTTTTTTTCACAGGGCGGTTTTAAGAAACACTTCCCTTGGATCAGCGAGAAAGCTGCGACATCGCTGAGGGGTTACTGTGCCAGAGCCCCGTGTGCCAGTTGAAGGATGGGGTGCGAGGTTTTGCCTTGCCGAGCGCGGCAGTAGAGGGGGTAGGGGTGCTATGTGAGAAGGGACGTGTGGGGGCTGCCTGCTGAGAAGTAACACTGGGCTCTTCTCCTCCCGCAGGCATGGCCTTGGCCCAGCGGCAAGTGGCGGTGCAGGAAGGGCCCCTCTACCGCACGGAGGGGTCCCACGTCACGCTGTGGTGCAAGGTGAGCGGCTACCAGGGCCCGTCGGAGCAGAACTTCCAGTGGTCCATCTACCTGCCCTCGGCCCCTGAGCGGGAGGTGCAGATCGTCAGCACCGTCGACCCCTCCTTCCCCTACGCCATCTACACCCAGCGAGTGCGCAGCCGGGGCATCTACGTGGAGCGGGTGCAGGGGGACGCCGTCCTGCTGCACATCACCGAGCTGCAGGACCGGGACGCCGGGGAGTACGAGTGCCACACGCCCAACACCGACGAGAGGTACTTCGGGAGTTACAGCGCCAAGATGAACCTCGTGGGTAAGCTGTCCTCCTTACGGCATGGCTGGGGCATCGGGGCGTCTCCCACGCAGTGTGCAGCAGAAACCCGTGAACCCCGCCATGCGTGGTGTAGTCCACATAAACCATCAGAAAAAACACCAGGAGGAGAATAGGAGCAGAGAGCAGGCAGCATGGTGGTGTGAACGGCAGGAAATGATGGTGTAGGGTTGTAGGGTAAACCAAGCTTTCTCTAGTAATAGACCCTTATAAAGAAGAGAAACCAGGCAGCATAGCCAGAGAGGAATGTGTGAAGCCGTGGCTGAAAGCAGGAGAGATGTGGAACCGATTTCTGCAGAGAGAGGGGTAGGGAGGCTGCTCCAGATGGCACAAGCTGCAGAGGAGAGAGCTGCCTGCCAAAGGTGGCGAAATAGCGGAGCGGGGAAGAGAGGAGCGGTAACGAACAGCACGTAAAGGAATGGGAGAGATGGTCGTCTTCCGGCTCTTAGAGGGCAGTGCTGAATGTGTCCTGAAACCAGCACACCAGTCAAACTGAGCTGTCTGTAAATAAATGAGGAGAATTCGGTTTGGGGTTGGTTTTTTTTTTTTTTTTTGGTCTGTGTTAGAAAAAATCGAAACCAGGTTCTTTAAAAGCTGAAGTATTTCCACAGCACCTCTGTGACTAGCCGATCTGACCTTTTCAAGCTTCATCTTGCTTTCTGTATCTCAAACTAGGATTGGATTTGAAATCTCTGACTCTTCTAAGAGCAGTCAAATGCCTTCCACCAGACTCTTCGGCTGAGGGACTCCCTAAAAGAGTTCCTCAGCAGCAGAGCTCTAGCAAATTTAAGCCCACAGACACCAGGCTTGCTTTCCTGAAGTGATGCTCGTGAGCCTGCAGGTCTCAGGTTTGGAAACCACTCTGGCATTATCCAAAGTGGTAGCTGGTCAGGGTGTTGCCGGTTCTGGCCGTGTTGACACAAGAAACCCATTGTGAAAGGAGCTGAGGTGTGAATTTAAATCATAATAGCCCTCATTTGGGTTGTGCTCCTTGCCTGCACCTTCCCTTCACTCTCCCAGATGAAGCCCCACAGCCTGGATACTTTCATTGCCTGCTTTCCCATCTGCTGTCCATGAGCAGTCGGGAAGTAGATGCCTGAGTACTCTTTGTAAAATGTGGGGTGGGTTGTTTTTTTTTTTTGTAGTTCCATGATTCGCTTCAGGTGTCCAGGTTTGCGGTTCCCCCTTTAGTTTAAACAAGTCTGAGTCAGCGCTGCTGCTGTAAAGTCACCTCAGGGAGTGAAACCCATTGAAAACCAACACCCAGTGAGGAAAAAAACTGCCTGGGAGCAGGGTGGGGTTTTGGTAGTTGGGGTTTGCAGCTGGGCTCCTCTGCCAGGGAGCTGCACCCTATGGAAACCAGCCCGTGAGCTGGGGCTGTTAGAGGGGAGCCGTGAGAGCAAGCAGGGGTACCTGTGCTAGCTGCTGGCGTGGGGCAGGACGGGGATGTGAGCGACCGTAGCCAACGTGTCCGACAGATGGCTGGGCAGCAGGGAGCTCCCCCCCTGCTCGCCCCTGGGGCTGGGGAGCCAGTGCCCTCCTGGCTTTAGCTCAGCTCAGCAGCTTTTTCTGTGGCCAATCCGGAGCTTGCTGGGTTGGTGTGCTCGTGCTCTGTCCTACCCTTACCTCAGGTACAAGCACATAAAATCTGGGACTCTTAGACACCTATGAGTTTTGCTTTGAGGACGTTCGCTTTGGGACTTAACATATGATGTGGATGCTCGAGAACTGATCTAAAGTAACTTTTAGTGGATTAGTTAAATCACATTATACCCCTTCACGGGTGCTCATGCTCAGAATTTGTGGCCCTACTTTGGTTAAGATTAATTCATTTCCAAAAATTCACTTCAGAGGTGACTTAAGGTCACTTGGGTTTTGAACGTGTGTATCTGCATAGGTGTCTTCCGTGGTTTAACCGAGCTCTGTCAGAAACGGAATTTTCCAGAGTGCCCCCTGCAATGACCTGTGAAGGACAAGCCTAAGGGCCAGGGGGTCTCCCCCTTGGCTTCTGTTCACATGAACTGGTGCTGACTCCAGCCCTCTCGGTCCCTGAAGTCCTACCAGGGAACCGGACTTCGCTCTGTAGGGCTGGGCAGATCACGTACCCTCTTTTCCTCCCTTGACATTTTAGCTTTCAGCTACAGATTGTGGGTTTTCAGGCCGTCTTGGTTGCTGCAGACAGTATGCAGGAAGAGGTACACGAAAGCTAAATGAGAGTTATTGTTCTCATTTTCTTAGAAACAGAACCAAACTTTTTTTTTCCTTTCATCCAGTTATGAATTTTTAATTGACTCATTAGATTGAGCGGCTCTTTTTTGGCAGCAGCAAAGCCTGGAGGGAGACAGGTTTGTTAGCATCTCTCTTCTCTCCGTTTATGTGTGAAATGGATGGGTTTGGAGCAGTGTTGATTTTAGACTTGCTGCTCTGGGAGCTTTGAGTTGTGTGCTGTGGTGTGAGGGAAGAGCTGAAGAAAGAGTTTCTCCCATTTTCACCCAGGCAATACAGCTCTGTGATGGGGAGCTGGATGGTGCAGGACCACATGGGGCTGCTGTCTGCACCAGGACCTCTCCGCTTGCAGCAGAGCAGCTGGGGGATGTGTCTTTGCTCCTGCCATCTGAGCAGTGTTGAGGGCTCTGCAGCTGCTGAAAAATAGCCTTGTCAGCTCCAAAGATGTGCCAGTTGGGCTTGAAAGGACAATTCTGTCCCTCTCATGAACAGCCAGCACCTCTCCCATTTTTGGTGTCTCCACTCGAGGTTTCTTTTCCTTTGTGGAGTCTTGGCCAGGATCTAGTACGTCTCTGATGTCCTGGAGTAAGAACTGTCCTCCAGGCACTCTGTGGGACTTTTACCTGAATTTAGGCATGCAGCGCAAGTGCTAATCTTGCTGAAGCTAGGAATAAGGCCAGTAATGTGGTTCAGCGGCCTTCTGCCACGGAGAAATGCGCATCAAGGCTCAACCTTTTTCACCAGTCTTCCATTTACTTCAGTTGCTTCAAAAATAACTCTTTCTGTATCTTGCTACCCCTCCTCTCATCTCCTACATCATTCAGGAGTTCCACCTGGGCTGCGAGGTGTGTTAAGAGGAAGAATTTAGGACATCACAGACTCAGTTAGTTGCAGGTGCTGAGGGAGGTGACAAAAAAAAAATGAGTGCAGCTCTTCAGGATGTTGAGGAACCATGGCCTTGTGATTGATTTATGAGAAAGGATTAGCCCACGTACAAAGTCTGCAACACCATTGTTTGCCTTCAGAGTTCAGTTCTCATGTCTTCAGGCTGACATGAAATTGCTGAGGCTAGTTTGTGCTCTTTTACTCAGGGCAAGGTGGGGAAGATTTTTAGAAGACCGCACGATTGGCCTCCCGCTCATCTAACAGCAGGCATGTTGCCTAAGGTGGATGTTGAGGCAATGTCTGTGATAGAGGACACAGAAGGACAAATCTGGAGAGTGACCTATGATTGTTTAAATTAAGTGCATCCTTCTCTAAGTTGACTAGAGAGAACCTAGATGTTAGACTTAGTTTAGACAGATGGTGTTGAGTGAAATGAATTCTTCCAGTCATGGATGAAGACTTGGCTGCTTTGGAAACTTCCCCTATGGGGCTCTGAAGCAAGTGATGGAAATTTTGACTTTGTGGTTGAATTGGGAAAACCTGTGGGCATACTGAAGAGGGGAGTTACAAAACTGGATCGGTTAAATGGGACATCTGGAGACCATGCACTTCTATCGTATTATAGAATGGTTTGGGTTGAAAAGGACCTTAAAGACCATCTAGGTCCGACCCTCCTGCCACGAGCAGGGACACCTTCCACTAGACCAGGTTGCTCAAAGCCTCATCCAGCCTGGCCTTGAACACTTCCAGGGATGGGGCATCCACCGCTTCTCTGGGCAACCTGTTCCAGTGCCTCACCACCCTCTCTGGGAATAATTTGTTCCTTATATTTAATATGAATGTACCCTCTTTCAATTTAAACCCATTACCCCTTGTCCTGTCACTACAGTATCAGGGCAGCATCCCAATAACATAGTGTCACCACTGACAGGACAGCAGTATTTTCCAGGTTGTCACTGGAATTATCTTTTCACTTGATAACTCTGGCAATATGGGCAGAAGGGGAGGTTTCTGTGCCATAATTTAGGTGGTGGAGCTGCAGGGGTGCTGTGCAATATGGGATGGTGGTTTGCTTCTCATCTCATGTTGATGGGTAAATAAACCCGTGTTTTGCTGTGGGGTAGAAGTGAGCACATGGCAGTTACTTCAGAGTGTGTGAGTCACTGCAAATTTGTACTCCACTGTGTCTCTGCACTGAGTTGTTTGTGTGCCTGTACCCTTACTTAGATAACAGCGAAGAGGCCCAGGTCTAACTTCAGAAGCTTCAGGCTTTTATCTCGGTGTTTTTTTTTATCTGTGCTCCCAAAAATGTTGAGCTCTTTTCAGAGTAAGTGATTTGAGGGAAGAAATGAAGCTTTGAGGTTTTTCTTAAACAGGTAGTGACAGAGTGGGAGAAAGGGTTTCAAAGCCCTTGAGGAGGTGGCAGCTCTTGTACTCTTTATTTTGGGGGAAGCAGCTGTACAGCATCAATCCTAAACAAGTTAAAGCAGAAAATATGAAAGGGGTTTGGACGGGGGGAGAGACCACAACCTCCGCACTACCGCAGGGTGGGAAGGAGCAGTTTCAATGCAGACTTGAGAAACAAGCAGCACTCAGACGTGTCTCGGCGTCAGGCAGGAGCTGCTGTGGAGCTGGTAGTGCCCTCGGCGACACTCACCAGCGTCTCCTTCCTGCAAAGGTGAAAGGAGGGCAGAGAGGATGCGTGCTAGCTAGGCACTGTATACAGTGGCTGCCTGTCCACCCTCTCAGCCACACTTCTGCTGCCTGCTGCTTCTCACTGGTCTCACCCTGCCCAGGCTGCCCTGTTCCCTTGGGTCCTGCCTGGCTGTGACGGCTCCCAGGGGCTGGGTGTGTGGGTTTTTGGCTGGCAG